CGATAACTCGGATTTCTCGATAAGTCGGACAGCCATGCCCAGCCCGTCGTGTCCGACTTATCGAGTTTCACTGTGTACAATAAATCCGTGAAGTTTCTACGATATCTTCTCCCATCCCCTTAATAGATCCGTCTTTTGGGCTTTCATTCTCTTCTGCATGCACTGTACGTAGATAGATAAAACAACTTACATTGGGCACCTCGTTGTGAATCGGTTAGTTTGCGCGATTGTATGTATGATTTGCGGCAAAAAATTGCATAAAACATGCAGAGTTAGAAATAATTCAGTGTCGACCTTAGTAAAACTCATCGTAAGTTTATTGTTCTCCGCTAAGTAAGTCTTTAAAGTTTTGAACAAAACAAAAAGCTACTAGCTTGGCAAGCTCTGAGTCGTTTCCTTGCAAATGCGCAGCAACGGATAATATATACATTCATACCTTGATTGCGACTCGCCGTTTTTCGTTACGCAAATAAAGTAAATTGCGCTTATTAATCACCATACACGTAACTAGTAAACATGTACTTATTTTTTAAAGACAGAACAACACGAATAATTCTAATATCTCTACTCCTGATGCCACCTCTATGGTAATCGTGGAATCAGGTAAGTCTATTTTTTTTTATTTCCCAATTCTATAACGCTATAGGAAAAGGCATGTTTCTTAAAATATTCTCTACTTTAGATTTGGGAATGCGTTGCAAGTATGGCGGAAAAAAAAAGGTACTCGGGGAAAACGCCAAAATAAAGAAAAACAATAATGAAATTATTTCTAAGCTCAAAAACAAAAAGCGAAGAGTTTGAAGACCCGAATTCTTTACAATAAAATTATACTGTCATACAAGTATGTCTAAAAGTTTGGTTTTTTAAAAAAGGTCATGTATTGATATTTACCTCTGATGTATCTTTCATGTTCTACGTCAGGAATCATCAAGCACCGTCTCAAACAGACGGCCCGTGAGCAATAATGGTACCGATATCAAATGTGACTACATTAATAATAACAACTGTACCGGACGCGCTGAACCAGTTAGCAACATTCTGGAATAACTGACATTAAACCAGTATTCGTGGATACTGTAAGTGTACAATTATAAATTTATGGAAGTTCAGTTGATTTCCGATTACATGTTTGCAGTATTGTAATTATGAAAGCATTCTGACCAATGGTCAGAAAAACTACGTGTGCGAAAAATAAATACGATGTCTAAACTAGCATTTCTTCAAGCGATATCCTTCTATCCTAACTTTCTTTCTTCCTCCACACCTGCCCTATCCTTCGACAAGCCAATGATTATGCATAAGTCTTTACGCTTAATACAGTTCAACTTCCTTTAATATTAATACGGACACCAACTTTCCGAGGCCGTCATCCGAATTAACGAATTATGAGGTTCGACCAATGGGTATTATGAGTTTGGGTTAACGGTATTATGCATTATCATAATTCTGATGCTAGAAATCGAGTAATTTACTTAATATTAAACATCCACAGATTCTTAGAATCTAATTCTGCCTCTGAACTTCTTGAATATTTCATGCATTCCTTCTACATTCACCAACCTAAAAAGTTTTCTAAAGATAATTGTTTTTAAAGATGACTGTTATACTGTAATTTACGATAATATGAAACTTGACAAATTATCTACTACTACACTAATATATGTTATCGGTATCCTGTTGTTCAAGAAACTATAAAGACGTTCTCATTTCTTCTGTAGCGGAATTATCTTTTGTTTCGAGTTTGTTATTATGATGTAAACATATTTCCTGCTTTTTGCCGCAGTGAAAGTGTGTATTGAGCAGATGGCCAATCATGTTCGCGAAGACATTTGAAGCTGGCATCTAAATTATTATTCACTGAATCATGTGATAACAAGTAGTGTTACCAATATATACTGGTATGTAGCAAGTTAATTGCGTTTTTTGTTCCATTTTTTTTTTTTTTTTCGTTGACCGGCCGAGTTACAGTACTTGCACAGTAAACTTGAATAAAATGTCTTACAGCTCAAGCTACGGAGCACCGGGAGTTCCTGCTCCGCCCGGGATGTACGGACATACATCCAGTTCATCATATGGAAATGTTCCTTCTCAATCTCTATCCTATAGTAACTCTCATTCAAATACTAATAGTCGAAATTCTAGTTATTCGAGATATGGGAACGATCGTGGCGGAGAGAGATCCTATGACGACCGCAGTCGGCGGGACCGTAAAGAGTAAGCTTTTGTAACAAGATGTTGTCACGCTGAAAATAACATTCGTGCATATTTGTATATCTATAATGTTCAACATGTACTTGCCGCCGCGAGATTGCGCTTGCTCTAGAGTATCAACATCACCATCTGAATTTGCAGTCTCTTAAAGTAACTAATAATCCTGTTCGTTATAGGTATGATTCTCGTGGTGACCGTAGGGATCGAAGCCCTAATGGTTATGATAGACATCACGAAAGATATCCTAATTCTAGCTACCGTTCTGGCGGAAACGGAGATCGCATGGCTGGCCTAGGTTCTGGTTTGCAGAAGCAAGACTGGGATATGGCTAAAATGCCGAAATTTGAAAAGAATTTCTATAGAGAACATCCTATCGTTGCTGCTCGATCAGACGTAGAAATTGAGGTGTTTCGGAAAAAGCATGATATGAAAGTTTTTGGCCGAGGTGTCCCTAAACCTGTCACAACCTTTGACGAAGCTAACTTTCCTTGTATGTTTAATTGTGTGCTCATTTTTGTACAAGACATTGGTCATGAACAGTAATTTGTTTGGTTATATTGATCTTGCTTGATAATTCAATTTTGCTAGCGTATGTTTTAAAAGAAGTACTTGAATCTGGATTTAAGGAGCCAACACCAATTCAATCCCAAGGATGGCCGATGGCTCTTTCAGGCCGTGATGTAGTTGGTATTGCCGAAACTGGTTCGGGTAAAACGTTAGCGTATTGTTTACCGTCGATTGTGCATATCAACGCTCAGCCGTTCCTCGAGCCAGGCGATGGGCCTATTGTTTTGATCCTTGCCCCTACACGCGAATTGGCTGTGCAGATTCAGCAAGAATGCACAAAGTTTGGCAAATCTTCCAAGATTAAAAATACTTGCGTTTATGGGGGTGTGCCGAAAGGTCCACAAGCCCGTGAATTACAATATGGTTAGTGTCTGTTTTATGTAAAGCTGTCTCCGACAACGGTTGATATTATATTGGTGACGTGATTCACATTGTGATGTTTCGATAGGCGTTGAAATCGTTATTGCTACACCGGGTCGCTTGATTGATATGATGGAAACTAAGAAAACAAATTTACGTCGTGTGACTTACCTTGTACTTGATGAGGCTGACAGAATGTTAGACATGGGTTTTGAACCACAAATACGTAAAATTGTTGATCAGATTCGACCAGATCGACAGACTCTTATGTGGAGTGCAACGTGGCCCAAAGAGGTTAAGAAACTCGCTGAGGACTATTTACATGATTTTATTCAAGTCAATATTGGGTCTATGGATTTATCCGCGAGTCATAATATAGTACAGACTATAGAAGTTTGTGCAGAGTATGAAAAACGCACAAGGTACTGGTCAAAAAGCAATCTAGTTTTAAATATCATAGCCCAAATTTGTTTGCCGGAATTTCTAAAAAAAGATTATATTTTTCTTTCCCGTTACAGACTTGTTAAACATCTGGAACGTATCATGAACCAAAAAGAAAACAAAACTCTCATTTTTACAGGAACAAAGCGAACAGCAGACGAGATTACAAAGTTCCTCCGTCAAGATGGTTGGCCAGCTTTGGCAATTCACGGTGACAAGGCACAAACAGAACGAGACTGGGTTTTAAGTGAATTTCGTAGTGGAAGATCGCCCATTATGGTGGCAACGGATGTAGCATCTCGAGGGATTGGTATGGTGACATATTCTATTTTATTGCAGTTCATTTGTCCTCGCTCACCATTCGATATTTTTCGTTCTCTCCGATACAATACGTGCACGAGCGTATATGTAGGTCCCACCAAATGCCAGCAGTAGCCGCGGGCAACAATTAAGGACAGTCAATAGAATGAAAATATCCGTCTCATGGCTGTTGTCATCGTCATTATTATCGGGAGCCTGTATTCCACATTGCCCTCTAGATTTTTGAATGATGGAAGAGCTGCGTGGTCTCAAGCTTTTGTTATTCGTCTGTAGAGTAGGATCTTTCTTCGCTGTCAATACATAGCAGCCCGACGATTGCGCGGAATATTTCATTGCGGTAATACAATCCGTGGTTTTGGTCCAAGACTGGCTCCAGGAGGAAATACTGCGTGGAATAAGTTTAGTATAGAAAGAATGACAACACTCTTTGGACGGGTTTTCTGCATTGTTAATCGAGAGGAGTCATGGATGTCGACTTATTTTGGTTTCTGACCAAGGGAGCGTCATTCTATGCCTTTTTTCCTTCTGTCTTGCTAATGAACGATGTTTTGTTGCTTGCCGCTGCGTAATCTACATGGCATGGGGCTTACATATCCTTTTATTTGTGTAGTTTGGTGTTGTGGCGGTGTATTGTTATATATATTATATTTGTGCTTTGCCGAATGTGATAATGTGATTTCTGGTGATGTATCTGGTGCACATGCGAGTATGAAACGTTTATTCCATCTCGGCAAAAGAATGTTTGCACCTGATTCCCTTATCATTATATCTAACATTGGCGAGTACGTGACAAGTAGTTTATTGGCTCATGGCTGACAATGATTTTTTGGACTTCAGATGTGAAGGATGTCAAGCTCGTCATCAACTATGACTTTCCGACTAATGTCGAGGTAAGAACCGAGATTCGATGCAGGAACGGTATTTTGCTTCTCATAGAATCCTTTATACTTATGCGCGAAACTGTTATTTTCCGTAGGACTATGTTCACCGTATTGGTCGTACTGGTCGTGGTGGTGCTAAGGGAGCTGCAGTGACTTTCTTTACGATGGACAATGCTAAGCAAGCCAAAGATTTGGTAAACATTCTAAGAGAAGCGAAACAGGAGATTGATCCGAAATTAATAGAAATGTCGAAAATTCACACTGGTAATAGCGGTATGTGTATCGATTGTCATTTGCAGATAAGGACGAAATCCCGCAAATACTAAAGAAAACGTGTACGCTCGTATAGGTCGGAATCGATATAGCAATGCTCGTGGACATGGAGGTGGCCGTAGCGGGGGACGTTGGTAGACAGGGTGTGAGAGCGAAAAGAATGTTGATGAGCGTAATTACTTGTATAGAGCCATATAATACGTCTATTCTAAATAAAGAACTCGGATTCGCTCGATGAACCCTTCTGTCTGCTTTATTGGTGTATGTCGTTACGTAGGGTCTGAAAAGTTTTGACAATGATTTTATTTCTGGAAAACGTACATAATAATTTTAAAATAAACTACTGCGTCCCTTCAAAGCACTCTCTGCCTGCTTCTATGCGATTTTCTGCCAACTCTGAAAGGCTTTATAGTACTCATCTTTTGGTATGCTGTCAGACACTGCCTGAACAACCCGTGCGAGATTTTCAACATTGTCAAACTTTCTTCCATTCAGTTCTTTTTTTTATTCTAGGAAATAAAAAAAAGTCACAGGGAGCTAGATCAGGACTGGGGGATGAGGCATCAATTGGACCCTTTCTTTCTTTAAGTAGCTCGTAACAACTTCTGCCTTGTGAGGTGATGCATTGTCATGATGAAGAGTCACATCACGAACAGTGCGCCTGCCAGACATTTCGATAAATTTTGCAAAAACTTCTGGAAGTACTGTGTCAGCATAGTATAGAGAAGTAATATACTGTCCTTTAGGCACCACTATTCTAGCAACAACACCCTCTACAGTAAAGAAAACGCAGAACATTCTTTTTTTTTACTGTTTTTAGACGTGCGAGCAATCTGTGGTCTTAATTCTCTTGACTTTAACCATACTTTGTTGTCTTTTTTAGTTGAAACAGTAAAATAGTTAAACCAAGTCTCATCACCTGTGATAATATTTTGAAAACCGCCATCTAAAACTTGTAAAATCTGTTTTGCGAGTTCAACTCGTTTTTGCTTATTTGCGTCCGTTATGACATGCGGAATCCATCTTGAACACACTTTGTTGAGACTCAGTTGGCTATGTAAGATGGAATTCTTTCTTTAGAGATCCCAACTTCCTCCTCTATCAGCCTTATGGTGATGTGGGGGTTATCATCTACCAGTTCCTCCACTTTCGTAATCTTTCTTGGAGTGACAGCTTCGCAAGGCTTCAATGCCCTCATCCCCGTCTTCGAATGCTTCAATCCAACGGTAAATAGTACGTTCAGAGAGTGCATTGGGCCCTTCAGCAACCCTCAACTCTTGGTGGATTTCTTTCGCTGTTCGACCGTTTTTCCAGCTAACATAGATGTAGTAGCGTTGATGTTCTCGCTTAATTTTCTCCATTAGGTTTAGGGTATGATTTTTCAAAGTGAATTTCTCAACAACTGTCAAATGAAAATATGCCTAATTTTTTATGCTAAGTCAACTGAGACATGAACTTTAATTGCATTATTTTTTTATTTAAAAAAGTGCACAGATCGATGCAATACATATACATTGTCAAAACTTTTCAGACACCCTACGTATCTCGCGATTATATTATGATAGGGCATCAAGCTAAAATGGCAACACGGGTTTCGCACGTTGATATTCTTCCCTCTTTTCCTATTAATATAGAGAGCCAGTAAGTAATGAATTTCCTGTAATAAAATGATAAAATTATCTATACATACCTTGCGCCAATTTTCGATAGTCTTGTCCATATCCTGTACGGCTTTGGCAGTTCTTGCTTTCCTATATATATATATATGTATACATCAATATAAATCCTATCCGTCTTTCTCCATGTTCGAATTTTCCTTTTTTTTTTTTTCGGTACCTTTCGGCTGCAGTTCTTTCATGTTTTTTTCCTTTCGGAGGTATGACTCTTGGAGGTTTTTTCTCCTTCTTTTCGGGTAATCCAATGCTAGATGGATCAATTCCCAATGCTATACAATTCTTTCGCATATCGGCCTGTCTGCGTAGACTTATTCGTGGTGAGGCCCATATTTCGCGCCCTAATTTGGGTTTATAAACTATTTGCGGCGAAAAATGAGCCGAACTATATTTTTTCTGTACGGCTGCAAGGGCCTGTAATGACATTCGTTTAGAAGCAGTCATTATTATTATTAAAAGAGGGTGAACGATTTGGTCCAACTACAACTACCCAGTTTTGTCGCAAAGCGTGACTTTTGTATTACAGCATCAATTACAGAATTATATTAATATGGATGCGGTAAGATCTTCAGAAATTGGTTACAGTAACGTGACTGCATGTACGACGTCTTCAGCCAGTCATCAGCTTTGAAATATTGTGTCGCAAATTGAGAACTGTGCTTTAATCTGCCACAATAATTAATATTAATATGGAGTGCACTCACCATTTATGCTCAATAACCTTCTTTATTGGGTCTGCGACTAATATGTATCTAGATCGGCAATAAAATTTTTAGTATTACTACTCCTAAAATTAAGTCGATCATGGGCTGCGGACTGCTAAGAGAAAATTCTCTGAAATTTCTGTTGGTGAGCTTGACTGCTCTAAGTTGAGGCAAACTGTGCCTATTTATAACTTTTGGTGTCGCTTCAGATGCTTCTAATATTTTGGTCTTGAAACTGTCATTAATATTTGACACTTCCTAGTCTGGTACAATATGCAATATTTTAATTTAGCATCAATACTCAGATAAATAACCAGGCAATGTAAAGCAGTAACAATTACGCAGCTATTTAGAAAAATAAAGTTTCCGCTTTTTCGATGCAGACTATAAATAATACTACGATATATGTACCAAAATGACAACAATAATGTGTAAACTTTGCAGAACGATTACACTTTGAGGAGGTTTTTATTCGTTATTGTTGCAACTTTGATAACTATTTTCGAATTAGCAATCATATTCTAAATCAAGCCATGCATGGTTTAAGAAAAATGTATTAATGTTAGTTTGGCGTAATAAATATGTTGAAAACGATGACGAAACTCTAATTAAAATTTTTGTATAGTTGTACCATTTTAAGAAATATTTATGTCGCGATACAGATTTATAAGTACGTTATTGTGATTGATTGCGACGACTTAATTGGTTGACTTTTTCGCCTATATATATAAAAACTGACAGTCACAATGTTTCTTGAAACACCGCAATACAATGTATCATCGCTGTCTATTAACAGTTTTGATTTGTGTCTTTAGACATGACTAACAAGAAGGTAAACCTCTACAATAGTCTTGATTAAAACATCAGACAGGGAATCACACAATACATCGTCATCATACATTTTATTCTACAACCACAGCTCCTTCATACATTCATAGCAGTATTACACATGGTCATAACTCCACCTGAGACAAAACCACGGGCATTATATAAACAGAACATGTATATATTACTATGACTTCCCTTGGTTGCGGGTGACATATATCGATATACTTTGATTAGTGACGTTTAAACTACGATTTACACTCACGATCTAAATATCGGTCTTGTTGTTACAGTCTTTATCCACTAATAACTCCTCTCGACCTGTCTTCAAATTTTTCGGCCCAATGTAGAGACTTTTTTGTTTATTGACACGGTTTTTAACTGCCATAAAACGCTACTGTTTACGACACAATATTTCAAAGCTGATGACTGTACATACGGTCACGTTACTGTAACCAATTTCTGGGGTAGTTTATTAATATGGATGCGGTATATCGAAGAGTTGGTTTTAATTTCCATATACCAACATTTTTCAATTGCTATGTTGATGCCTAGTACAGTCGTACGATTGTCTACTAAATATAGTAAAAAGCATAATGAACAGACAAAAAATATTTTGATCAAGGAACTCTTATTATTATAATTCATTTCCCGAGCTAAAAGGTAAATATTCCGCCATTCTACAATTATACAGCTTGCTGCAGAGAGATTTCAAGAATCTAATGAAGAAGGGTAGTGTTTGCTTACTAAGCCAAATTTTGCCTTTCAGATGCGGCTGCATGAAGGAATCGGACATATAAACCAACTGGACGTTACGGAATTCAACGGGAACGACTGCATGAACTCTATGCAGGCTTGCAATGTGCAATCTATTGTCTACTTTTTAGAAAATTCTACGTGAGATTGACGTTGCTCTCAATTTTAGGGGTAAAGACTTGGACTTGGTCGCCAAGTTTTATTTATAAAGTCTTCGTTTTTTAATTGTCCGCGCGATAATAATAATAGTAGTAGTAATAGTAATAATAATAATAAACGCAAGCTAGCAACCAAAGCCAGATTTCCGTGAGCCCAAAATGATAGATAGGGGCGCGAGTTCCATTAATTGTTTACTCTCTCTCTATTATATTCATTCTTTCCAATAGTAATAGTGAACATGATAACCTGTGACGACCTGAAATTTAGTTGAGTTGATGCACACACGCACTCTGTAATCCTGATTTATTAGTAAACCCCTGAGAACATACAACCTTGGACTACAAATAGTTGGCGATAAATTCCATAAAGTTAGTCGAGCAATCCTTAAATTGTTTATTAAGGTAAAATATATACTTACACACGCATACGGGTGTTCGAACCTATATACGCACGAGAGGTCTCGAAGAAACAAGAGAGATCTGCTTTGTAACAAACAAATTGAAAAAATAAGCGCAACCATAAACTGTACATACATATTATTACAACCAGAATGACACAACTCCAAGTGATCCTTGACAGACTCGCTGCAGAAAACTTGAATGGTCCCATAACACCTACTAGCTCTTCTGGAGGATACCCACCGCGGACTCTGAGGAGGGCTTCTCACGATGTCCAGAACTATCAAGAAGAGGCTCAAGAAACAGACTCGCTTGATCCAAAGTACGTGGAGGCTTTTTTGCTTATTACTATTTATATATTTTGATACTATCTAACACTTATTTGTGTAGGTGGCTGGCTTTGTTTCAAGAATTTTTTTTAGAAAATAGCGACTCGAGGCACGATGATTTGTTGTTTTTCGTAAGACAGATGCATTCAGAGAATGAACACTTGGATCCAGTCTTTGTCAAAAGAAAAACTCAACCACATGTTATGCCACAACTAGATGATGCTGTAATGTGGAAAGAAACGTTCTTTCTGAACTTGATTGTCCAGGTAAGAATCTGTTGCTGTCGTTTAGTGTCAATTTATATCCACACACAACTGCATTTACATATTCATATGATCTTTCAGCTCCCGTGTAAATTAACAGTAGCAGTATGTACTAGAGCAACCTTGCCGGACAATTCGCAAAAGACAAGTATGACGTGTTCACATCGACACGTATCAACACGAGTATACGCTCTTCCAACAAAATCACGCATGGACATAAAAGACACATCAATGGAATGTTCCTATCCGCTTATCTATTATGTGGTTGATGATTATGAAGAAATGTTTGAACAATTAATTGTTAGAGAGGACGAGTATCTATGTGTAGAATTAGCAGTAACAATACCAAGTAATTCAAATGATGACGAAGAAGACAGCGAGAACGACAGCGACGACGATTACTACGGACGTAGCGGATCGAGACATCATCGTGCGTCACGTCTTAGCTATCGGCCAATGACCAATGGTCCATTTCCTCCACAGGTGCCTTCAACTGATACTAAGATCACGTTATTTCAAGGTGCCGCACCTTATTCCGCATTATTGGATATTTATAAGCAAAAGGCTTCTAGTAAGCTAAACAAGAGATTCAAGATGGGACCGGTGAACCCTCCGACGGAGTACGTTATGATGCGGGGACCTAACAGCAAAGGGCATGCACAGGTAAGATACACGATTGCACAAGGGAAAGGAGGGTGCGGATATTCCCATCATTAGCTACAATTTCCAACTAACTGTCTTACAGGTGGCGATTACTGCGGCTCCGATAGAAAATACACAAGAGACAATCGACATTACTTCCCCATCGAGTTTTGCACCATATTCAACGTCCGAACCGTTTAACAATGTTAATGGTACCAACGTCTCTAGTACTGCAATGAAACGTGGTAATTCAGGAAACGGTTTTAAATATGACGATCAGGCATCGCCACAGCTACGTTCAGCATCATCAACGTCTGCTACAATCTTTCAGTCGTTGAAAAAATTATCACAACTAGCTATATCAGATCGACCAGCCTTAGAACCCGAGAGCCTTAGGTGTTGCATGACTTTTATTAACGTGCCGTGGACCAGCGTCGTCAGGTGAGTTGTAAAGAGAAATGTTGGAAGAGCAGATGCAAAATAGAATTTTGAACTAAGTCATTTCATCTTAATTCTAGTGACCTTATATCGCCTTCACGGAAAAAAAATTCATCATGATCAATATGTGAAAATGAAGAGTCTGTATTAGTTTGTTTGTTCATACACTATTAATGTATTTATGGAATATCTTATTCAATAATCACTCAACCATAATTTATGCATCGACTATTATGAGAGGCGTTTCGAGCGGCATTTTACGCGACCCAACACTAAGAAAGGTTCGATAATGAGTTTTATATATAAAACGTTGCACTCATTATTCACAATATCCGAAGTGTTTTTAGTTAGTTTTTCTTGCACAAGTGATCTTATAAAATTGCTTGTCTTTTCTCCGAGTCGAGTTAAACTCTTGTGACGGCTATAATGTCTGTGGGAATGAAAGGTGAAATCTTTCAACCCAGAGTAAGGGACCATTTGTCTTCTATTGACGTTGCGTAATTTATTGCCTATTGCTATAATTCGTCAAAAAGTATCACATGAACGACATAACACGGTTTAAAATATATAGTAAAACACGATGGTTTTGTCAACTCTAAAAATATGGCCCAGAAAAAAGATTACTTTATTTCAAATACCAATTCAAAAGTGGAGCATCGTAAATGAATGTCCTTCAATTTCAATGGATTTTATTTACGTAACTTCTTCACTGATTTCAAAGTGAACCCTCAAATCAACTTC